ATATGCGTCGATATTTAGACTTAGGGATGAAATCATCTAGACATCCAGAGGTATGTACAAAACATTGTAATCTCCACCTATTACGTTTTTACTTGCAAAGTATATCAAAAACTGCTTTTGGAACTTTGTGGGCCAGTAGCGTATATAGTGGCAACATGCCATCCATCACAATTTGGGCATTTCCATGCTATGCCTCCCTCCCCACTCTCGTATCTCCACCGCTTTGGTTTGACATCCTTCGATGTTGGAAATGAGGAGGGTTCAAAATTAGTGGAAATTACATTGTACAGTTTCCAAAAACCATAATCTGTTGCCGAGCTTTAGTGTAACTTTCAAAGAGACCGTTTGATTACGCTAAACCAAAAACAAAAACTGTTTTATTCAATGGACATAGTCACAAAATAACAAAATGCAAAATAATTCTACATGATCCTATTCTAAGGCACTCATTAATGTAATTAGTAACTACAAAATGTAGTTAAGCTGTTCGTTTAATGTCTTAATATGTGACTCAAGTAGTCGATCTCTAATATTAGCCGCAACTACAACGTTCTAGTCATGCGATGCTTTAAACACCGTGCCAAAGGCACCACTACCAATTTCTTCTCAATTTGAAATGTCTTTCCATTTAAATTTGAAAATTTACTCAGTTCCTTATCCTCCTTTACAGAAATTCGGGCAGGTATTCTAAACATGTATGAAATATTGGAAACCCTCTCTCAAGAGAATCAAATTTACAACTGAAGAATATATCATTTAATTTATGTAATACATGCACAGAGCGTGTGAAAGGAGCTTATATTCTATAAAGCCCAGTGAAAAATGGCAATATATGAACCAGCTGATGAAATTTTCGTTATAGTAATGCCGAGTCAGTCCTTTGAAGTCAAAGATCAATCGAATTCAAAGCCTTGGACATGAAGTCAACTTACTGTGACCTTGAAACATTGTACTACATGTCAACCATTCAGGCACCTAATGTTGTAAATAAGAAAGAAATTCTGAAAGTGTGAAGATTTAAAAAAAATGAAGGAGGGGGGGGGGAGGGGGGGTCTGCCGAATATAGTATAGGGGGTCTGCGGATTATAGTTGGGTCTGCCGAATATAGTATAGGGGGTCTGCGGATTATAGTTGGGTCTGCCGAATATAGTATAGGGGGTCTGCCGAATATAGTTGGGGTCTGCCGAATATAGTATAGGGGGTCTGCGGATTATAGTTGGGTCTGCCGAATATAGTATAGGGGGTCTGCCGAATATAGTTGGGGTCTGCCGAATATAGTATAGGGGGTCTGCGGATTATAGTTGGGTCTGCCGAATATAGTATAGGGGGTCTGCCGAATATAGTTGGGGTCTGCCGAATATAGTATAGGGGGGTCTGCCGAATATAGTTGGGTTTGCTGAATATAGTATAGGGGGTCTGAGGAGTATA